AAGAAATTAAAAATTGCAAGGTTGTAAAAAACTGTAAAGTAGAAGAAAATTGGATCGAGTATCGAAGGATTACTCGAAAAAAAAAAATTCGCTGGAAACTACGTTTTTTAATAAGCGATAATTAACCAGCGATAAGTTATCGAAAATTTGAACGAACGAGATCAGAGTTGTTTCAACGAGAATGAGAATTTACGTCACAAAATATACAACGGATTTGAATTTGAAAAAAAAATTAAAAATTGCAAGGTTGTAAAAAACTGTAAAGTAAAAGAAAATTGGATCGAATATTGAAAGATTACTTGAAAAAAAATTTGCTGGAAACTACGTTTTTTAATAAGCGATAATTAACCAGCGATAAATTATCGAAAATTTGAACGAACGAGATCAGAGTTGTTTAAACAAGAATGAGAATTTGCGTGTCGCAAAATATACAACGGATTTGGATTTGAAAAGGAAGAAATTAAAAATTGAAAGGTTGTAAAAAAACTGTAAAGCAGAAGGGAAGAAAAATGGAGTTGGTTAAACAGCACGTAGACGACGTAGGGGAAAAATAGGATGGGAAGAAGGAAGGAAGACGATTGGTGCATCCAGGGGATAGCGGAGAGGAAACGTGGTGGTCGTGAATGTTTGAAATGGGATTCGTTTACATTTCGAACGGTGTAATAGCCGACTTGGCGATCGGCCGTTGGACTTTCTCTATCCTTTACGATCGCGTTGGTGTTTCGGTCACGGTTGAAAACGCGTTCATAATTAAAAGAGAAACGAGACGAATCCTCCCTTCGTGCTCGCCTTCGTATTTGCCAGACGCTGTTTGCGGATTATTTAACCGGAATACGAGTTCTTTTTTCTCACCTTCGTTCACTTTATCCGTCAAACGAAATAGCATTCGGCCTCCGTGAAAATAGAAGATGCGTTTATGATATACGTACGTGATATGTATCTCAAAATCAAACCCCTTTTATACGCGTGTTAACGTTTGAGAAAGAGATACCTCTGTATCGAAGTTGGAAATTGGATTGATATGATCATAGACGATATTTCCTACGATTTTCTTAGCTCTTCTACTTCGTAACGTGATTGATGCGCGTGTAAGCACAGTTCCATCGGTTTTATGGGGACTCGGATCTAAGATCCAACGATTTATATCACTTGTACGTACAACATTCTTTCTTTTTTTTTTTTTCCTTCTTCTTTTTTTTCATTCGCAAAATTGACGTACGATTTCGGATTTCACGTACACGAGCGCAAAGACAAACGCGCGTTTTTTTTCTTTTTCATCGTTCAAACGCGTTTCGATACAATTTCCGAATATTTTTAAACGTTAAAGTACGTCGAATATAAATATACGCATTTAACCGTAATTTTATTTTTTAATAATTTTATAAACATCGATTTTAATAATTTCATCGACTACGATATATCCGAAACAAAATTATTATTAAATTTCGATATAATGAAACGATCGGTTTCCAATTTTCAATTTTTTTCTCATTTTTTTTTTTTTTTTTTATAATTTTTCAATAACCGATATAATATTTTTTTTATCTCTAATAATTCGAAAATTTCCCAAACGAAAAATTCAAATATTTTTTTATTTCCATTTTCTATTCCTTTACGCGAAATAAAAATTATTCCGCGAGAGAAGAAACATCAATTTTTCTTCGATAATCTTTAAACGCTTACCAACGATTTATCAAAACCGGCTCGTATTAAAAATTGTAATCGATCGATGTCCAACATGGCTTTCTCGTGTTATTATCGGTAATCGTATTCCTGACTCGTTGAAAGAAAAGTTTGAAAGCGTCCAAAGATAACTGTCCAACTTTCGACCACGCTTGCGCGACGAAAGAATAGATCTTTTTAACGGAATATTCACGAGAGTGCACGAGGAAAGGAATAAAAAAAAAGATAGGTACACGTATAAAAATATTGAAATGTAATATCTATCGATAAAATAATACACTGTTCGATCTATTCGAAAATCGAAAACGCGTTGCGATTCCTCGAAAAGAAATGGCCGATCGTTCGTTTCAGTGGTTTATAAATGGATAAAAAGAAAAACATGCGATGGACTAATCGAGTTAGTAAAACGTTTCGTTTTTAAACATTCGATCATATCGCGTCGATATTAATGTTTCTATAAACAAAAGCATTCTCGATTTGATTTTTTTCCCCCCAAACTCGTTAAATCATCGTTAAAATCTTTCGTCCGCTTATTTCGTTTCGTTTTCACTATTTTCTTTCGATTTACTTTTCGATACATGGATTCGACGCGAAAAATATTCGTTTTAACGGATATTCGATTAATTATTCAACTCGTTTCTAATTATTTCAATAGCTTTCGAAGTGAATTTTGAATCCGTAAATTAAAAAGTAAAACTTTTTTTTTTCTTCGCACATTAGTTAGTTATTCTTCGAATCTGAAGAACAGTACCATCACCATTACCGTTGGATAAATCTTTAAAGGAAGGAAAAAAATTCTCGATTAGATGGAAAAATCGTAGCAGAAGATTAAATATATTTTTTGTATGACTTTTAATTCGATTATTTCGTCTAAATTGCGGCCGTGAATATTTCAGAGTGACGTAAACGACAAATTGAAAAAAACGCAACGTCGTCTAAAAGTCTTAAGAATTTATAAGAACACGCCTCCTATGAAAGTTTCTTTCGTCGGAGAGAGAAAAAAAAGAATCGACGAATACATTTTCTCTTCCATAAACCAGACTTGATGCGTTTCTTCCTTATAATCTTTTTCTCTTCGTGGTTTTTTTCTTTCTTTTTTTTTTTTTTTTTTTCATTCCAGATTTTCTTCAACCCACGTATTCATCTCTCTGCCACGTTCCGTAAACTTTCTCTTTAAATTAATCTACTCTAGATCTCTCTCTCTCTCTCTCTCTCTTTCTCGTTGCACGTACACAATTTAAAAATATGAATTTGCATTGAAAGTTTAATCGCGTTTAAAGTTGGACGAGCGACAAGTGAGAAACGCGACGGAACCTTCCTCCTATCCGTTTGAATATTTCTTTCACCGTTGATTTACGGGAAAAAACGCGTCGTCGATCGACTACTCATAAACTCGTGAAAACGTGAAAAAACGAAAAACAAAACGAGTCGTTAAAAAACTAATATCCTCGATCGATGTAACATTTTTGCCGCAGTTTTTGTCAATTTTCAAGCGTACGCGAAGAAAATGACGGTTCGGTGACGCGTAAACAAATGCACGCTCCTATCCCTCCATACAAATGCAAATTTCGTTTCTACCGTTGCTTTTTTCTCCTCCTCGTAATACGCGTAATTTTTACGCGGGTAAATCGTTATTGGGGATCGTAAATGGGTGGAAATTTTTGCGCAAACGCATGGGGGCGGGCGCACGAATCGAAGCGAAATGGAGCGCGAGTTGTTTCTCTTTCGTCCTCGCGATTCGATTCCACGCGTATCGCCGCTCCATCGTGCAACTTTCATTTCCCGTTCATAGTTCGATCTCGTACTATTTTTCCAATATTTCGCGGATAAATTTCTGCGAGGAGATGTTTCGAATCGTCGTGCTAACGAATCTTTCCCTTTTTTAAAAAAAAAAAAAAAAAAAAAAAAAAGAAAGAAAAATTTCCAAACCAAAGTTTCTTTCTACCGTCAACTTGCAACTTGGATAATTAACAGAATTAACAATTAGAACGCGTTCGATTTGTTCTCGATCGTTTTCACAGATCCCTTTCAGATCCGCCTAGAAATCGTGAAATTTTTTTTGCTCCGCGAGAAATTACCGTTCTCCTGCTCGAGTGACGAGTAAGAATCAAAAAGAATTCAATTTGCATGAGAAAGAATCTCCACCGCTCAAACGTGGTTTTACAGCCGCTCGTAAAGGCGGGAGGGGAGGAAGGGAGGGAAAAGTGGCGGATAGTGGAAAAAAAAAAAGAGAAAAAAAAGAGGAAGAAAAGGACAACGCGGCAACGTGGTCGGGAGAAAGAAAAGAGGAAGAAAATGGAAATACGAAAAACCGAGCATCCAAGCCGGCATAAAATTACGCGGAATTACGCGTATGTCTGCCGGAATTGTAGCGCGACGCCCTCTCTCCTTCTGCCCCGACGCTTTTTCCTAAATATTAATGCTCCCTTCTCTCCTTCGCCCGTGCTAGTGCTAATTATTTACAGATCCCGCGGGAGACGCGACCGCCATATATATATATATCTCCCTTCCTATCTTCCTGCCCTCTGTCGTCGTCGTAAAACCTTCGATCGTCGTAAAAAAAAAAAAAAAAAAAAAAAAAAAAAGAAAGAGAAACGTAAAATTGCAGTTCGGCCGAAGCGAAATCAAGCGTGCTTATCGGCCCAATTTCAACCCTATCTTATCCACGCGTATACTATATTCGATCGAGTCGTTTTCGCACGGAAAAACGTATCTTTACGTCTTACGCGTTTTATGATAAGCTGTTTTACGATTTCATTCTTCTCTCGGTTCTTTCTTTCTTTCTCTCGTTTGTTTGTTGGTTGGTTGACAAAATTTTGTGAAATTCGTGTAAAATTCGTGTGAAATTAAAGTGTATTACGGAGATTATCGGGGTAAAGATCCTTTTACGAGAAAAAAATGCGAATATTGACGAATTTAATACGTGGAAAGGAAAATGGAAGAATTTTAAATATAAAAGACGTAGAAATGATTTGACAATTTTTGCGACTTGTGCGAATTGGCGCGGAAAGAGAGGGTGAAAATCCCTCGAACAATCGGGAAAAATTATTCTACGAGCGCGATTCAAAATTCTCAATCGGAGAAAATATACGAGGCATTACGAATTAACAGGGATTCGCGATCAACTTTATCCTCTGAGGCTTGTTTTCTCTCGGAATTTTCGTTGAATGTTAAAAACGATTGATCGACGAACAACAGTGCAGCTGTTTAGTTGGAAGACTATTTCATTTTCCGGAGGGAGGAATATGATTTAAAAGAATTAAAATGCTCGCTATACATATATATATATATAAAAGGTGCAGGTGGTTTCTACGGAGAAGGGTGCATTCCCTTGAGATGTTTAAAAAAGTAAGGAATTCTCTGCGGTAGCGTTTAACAAGAACCGGAGAACTTGTATTATTCGAGTTATGCTTTAAAATTAAACGATATAAATCAAGATAAAAGAAAAATTGAAAAACGTATTTGCCATTGAACGTTCGAAGGGATTAAAGAAAAATTGTTCGATTTTATCGATTGGGAAAATAATTTTAATTAGCGAAGATATTTCCAAGTCTATAATCTAGATATTAAAATTAAAGTTATTTCGTTAATATCGATTATTCGATAAAGAATACACATCCGGAAGGCGACAACTTTCGCGAAACTTTTCTACAAATCCAACGAAACTTATCGATGGAACGCCACCATTACGGTTGAAACATTTATGGCGATGAAACAATGCTTTGTACCCTGGAAAAGAAACCATTCCGGCGATTTTCGCGATACAAAGAGGCACAAAGGAGCAACCCTAAAAAGCATTCCACCAAAGAAACTTTTTGAAACCTGTTACAAAGAGGCGGGAAGGAAGGAAAAACTCACCGTCATCCGCATTACTCTCGAATCTCGTCATTTCTCAATAATAAAACTCTTTACCCTTTAAAAAAGGGGTTTAAGAAAGAGGAGGTCGGAGGGGTTGCCTCGATTCAATTACCATCTTTTCTTTCCCTATATATAACCTATATATAACCATTCTGTACGCGTGATCGCAATTTCATTGGCGACGCTACCTATATACCGGTTATGCTTCTCTCGTACCGCGCGTTCCTCACGGCCAGCGCCTTAATCACGCCGACGTATTTACAACCCGATCACCATAAAATGGACCGAATTATGGGGAATCGATGCTCCGATAAATCGAGGCCGCATAGAACGCGACGCGTTGTTCGCATAACATCCACTCCTCCTCCTCTCCATCGATTCGTTCCAATAAAGAACGCGTCACCGGTGGATGCGATTCCAACCCGTCAACCACGGAGACACGTTTTAACAATCGCGAAGAAAACAAAATGTTGGAGAGAGTCGGAGGGAATCGAAAATCAAGGGAGAGGGGGGAGAGGAGAGTTGCGTTTTCCCTTTTATCAGGGAAAAAACGCGCGTCGTTTCACGCGAATCGTCGATAGTCGCACGTGAAATATCGTCGATCGATGTATATATGTATAACGATTAAATATTTACGTTTGACGTTTCGCTTTTATGATTATTCATGAAGCGATCGCGTTCAATCGTTTTCATGGGTTTTCCGTCCCGTTGCTTTAATTCGCGGGCCAAAAGTAAAGCGCAAAATGCGGCAACGATTTCTTCGAAAATGTTATTAAAAATGTTACGTTATTGATATAATAGGTTAACAACAACGATGATACCCATTCCATAGAGGTTTCGTGCAAAATAAATGATCAACGGTCCCGATGGGATGTTATGCGCGTAATCATTCACGAAGCAACAATTACCAGAGATTTTAATGAATTTTCAATCGACTGTTATCGTTGTTTCGATTATTAACGATTCGCTCCTGATACCTGTGCCGTGTATAAATCTGTCGACGATCCGTGACCAGCGAAATTTCGTTCGGCGCATCTTTCATTTCGCCACGAATTCGCGAGGTTGCGAACCGAGGTGGCGCAGCTTATCGCCCTTTTCGACCCCTGTCTCTCACGTTCCGTCGCGTCGATCGACGATTTATGTCTACGTCGTATTATTGATCGAGTGCCGTCGAGAGGGAAATTTCTCGATCCCTCGCGCTAACCATTTCTCAAAGATGAAGAACCAAGAATTCTCCAATGATCGATTCACGATGAATTACGACATTCGATGAAACGTTTCCACCTAAAATGCACACGCGCTTTTAAATGCACAATTGTACCGATAATTACGATTTATTAGTAATATCGATGAAAAGTTCTGAGAGATTTATACACAAATCCTTTTCCAAATAGATTATCGTTTTTTCGCGTCCGAATCGAAGACGGTTTTAAAACTAGAGGGAGGATTTCTTCGCGTAGCGATCGAAAATGTGTTATCGCGTTAAAAGATTAAATTACAGTTTTTTCTTTTTTTCTTTTTTTAAAAAAAAAAGTCACGACACGTATACGGAGAAAAAGGAAATAGACAAAGAGGGATTAACCGATGTTCTCTCCGGCGAATGATTCGGTTGATTGAAAAGCTCGTTGATCGAATGGAGGTGCTATTGGTCGCCTGTCCATAAAAAATCAATTACCATCGGATAAATCATTTTCGTTCATCATTCGGTTCGGTCGGTTTCGCTGATTTTTATTCATTAATTCGGAAAACGGCGAAACGATTTGATTATTCCGAGCGATTATTGACGGGGCACGAATCTAGTTCATCTCGTGGCCGAGATCGATTCACCACGAGTCATTGGGCGCGTTGCCGTGAAACGTTGGGGGCGAAGGTGGCGAAGGAAGTCGATTTAAAATGCACGCGTGTCCGCTCGTGTTTCAAAAGCTGTGTCGAAAAAAATTTCATCGAAAGATAAATATCACGAGTTTCAACGCGAGATCAAACGCGAGCATTACACGTACCGTTTCAACGGAATCGTACAATTTTCCATTTTTAATACGATTCAACGTACGATACGTTCAATAATCGATTCTAATGCGGTCGAATTTAATAGCCAACTGGACGACGTATTAAATAATTCGAATGATATGATCGAATTTTCGGGGTTCGTTGTATATTTATCCAACGCGGATGGTAAATCTTTTTTAAATCTAATATTTTTTTTTTTAACTTTGAAACGTTGAAATTATCATATATAATGGAAATATGGAGAGAAGAATATAAAGTCGTTTTTTAAATCGATAAATGTTCATTGACACGGAGGAGCGAAACAGAAGCGACTTCCTATGAGTCATTATGAGGCGGGCCACGTTGAAATATCGCTGCTTTTACCGCGTCACGTAATTGCGACCTGCCGGAATATTTCGAGCCGGAAAAGGAGCCTACCTACCCTTTACGTATCGCGTGTTTCGATGATCGAAACGATGGCGAATAACATGGTTGCCGACTTTTGTCTCCTTTGTGCTTTTGCTCCGGATCGCTGCGGATGTTTGCGTGTTGGACGGTGATGAAATTTCGAAACACCGTTCTTCTATCGAGGGATCGTTAATCCTGATTAACTTTTAAGTTCAACTTGATATTTCACGAGGGTTATAAATAGAAAATGCGACCAAATTACCCGTCGTCGAAATTTAACTTGGAAATCGCGTTCGAACGATGTAAATCGATTCGTAATTGGATAAGTGAATATAGACGAGTTGCCCTTATGTCTCTTGAAACGGAAACAAGTGTCGATCGTATCCTCATCCTCCAAAGAGATATCTTTCCTTCGAGGAAAAATGTATTTGCACGTAGAGAGATTGGAAGAATATCGAGAGAAAAATCGAGAAATGATTTACTCCCCGCCCGAATTAATAAGTTCGAACCACGATCTTGTTGCCGAAATTTCGATCGGACGTAATTCGTGGAGGAACGATCTGTGGTAACGAGCTGCGATTCGAAACTGGGCGTCGCGAAAAAATGTCGTTCGATCGCACGTCCGCTATCAAATTTTATACCGTCGAATCGGAATCGTTCGAGCCTGGGTCCCCACCCTCGTCGAATCTATCCAGCGTAAAAAGTCGGCTCGTTCCACGCGCGAATGATCTCGGGGAGACGAACGAGGTCGTTCGAAAGAAAAGGAAAGAAAAATAAAAAAGAACTCATTTTCGAATATTATTCTCAAACGAAACGTATTTCCTCGATTTACCGGTAAATATTGAATTATTATTTCCGTGCACGAGTCTGTACGAGATAAAATAAATCTTCTTACCGCTGTTACACGGCTTTACCGGCCCGACTTTGTACGGCTAATGGCGAAGATAAATGTGAAATATTAAGAATGACGTTATCTGGAAAACCGTTTCTCAGAAAACTACTTCCTCTATCTCACGATTCTCTATAAACGAGTATCACGAGCATCCATATACGATCAAATTCGAAATGTCTTTCGAATCGATCGTTTTTTGATATTAATTATCGGTAATTCTGAGAGAGTATCGTCGTATTTGCGTTTATGATTTTATCGTTACGCGTTCGTTGAAACGAATCTTTGCCTCGATCGATAGAATCGATTGTTCGAAAGGAAGAAACAAGGAAGAAGGAATCGGCGATGAAACAAACGAACCGCACTCGTCTAGTTCCAACATTTCCGCTCGAGCACGCGTTCGCATTTTGAAGAGTGGGCCGGCTAACAAGACGCGCTCGAAATCGACACGTGCACCCACCCTTCCCACCTCCGAACGTCGTCTAACGCGAGAATCGAGAGGAACTTTGATGCGGTGTACTCTCGAGCGTGTACTGGCGCGAGAATTAAAAACGTGTCAAAGAGTTGAATTTGACTTGACGTGTTTTTTCAACGCCGACAACCTTTGTGATCGCGCGAACGCACTCGATTCGAGTTGCTCTTATTCGTTTTCGAAACGACGCGAAGGATTTCGAGATTGAATCGAGGAGCTATACTCGTAGGCCAAAATAAAAAAAAAAAGTAATTAAGCGATCGTGCCAAAAAAGAAAAAAAAAAGAATCTATTCGAAACGAAACGCTTAATTTCGAAACGAAAAAAAAAAAAAATATCTATAAATCGCGCTCGTATTATTAAATTCGAGATATCTCGTTTCGAACGTGTACATAGAAAAATTATTAGAGTATTATAACGAGGAGGAAGACACGATTTTTAAATAAATCGGCTCGATCAAAGATGCGAAACAGAAACAGAATTTGGTGATAATTTATCGCGCATCCCGCGTAAATATCTCTGTTCGAGCAAAAATTAATCTGGATATATCGCGATATTAGCAAATAACGCAGCAGAGATCACTGGCGGCTATGTGCCCGAGAGTATCGGACAGGATCGATGATTCTGTACAGAATTCTATGGACATTCGTAAAGAGAGAATGGTCGAAACGTTGTTTGAATTGGATAGATGTTTGTCTAAAGGGAAAAA